CACAATTCAAAGCCAGCTTCAGCAATTAAACAAGACTGGAGACCCTGTCTCAAAATAAAAAATAGACCAGGAATATGGCTCAGTACTTCAGCGTCCCTGGGTTCAATCCCTAGTACCCAACAGATAAAATGCCACTCAAGCCTGGAGGTCTACCATTAAAACATGCATTTTTTTTACTTTATTCTTTGCATTATGTTTATAAGCCATAAAAAACCTTTTTCCATTCTTTTGGGTTATTAGTCTTTTTATTTCGTAAGATAAAGTGACCCTCTATATTATTTTTATTACAGAATAAATATTTAAGTGATTAAAAAATAAAAGCTGTGGTGCACGCCTATAATCCCAGAGTCTCGCGAGGCTGAGGCAGGAGGATCACAATTCAAAGCCAACCTCAGCAACTTAGTGAAGTCCTGAGCAACTTAGTGGGGCCCTCTTTCAAAATAAAATATAAAAAGGGCTAGGGATATTGGTCAGTGGTTAAGCCCGCTGGGTACCCCCCCCCAAAAAAAGTTAAGGAACTAGAAGACAAATAAGAGATAATTAAAACAAAAGCTGATTTCATAAGAGGCAGATGAGTAACAAAAATTATTATGAAAAAAGACCACAGCATCAAATAAGTGACACTAGGAATGAAAAAGATAAAATAGATATTAAACTATAAAAAATTCTACATTAATAGCCTCAAGACTTTTTTGGGAATTAAAATTATCAACATCAATTAGAGAATAAATAATAGTTTTAGTAATACTTAAAGTCATAATAGAGGTAATATCCTGGAGTTTCCTCTTAAAATACACTAGTTAAGCACTAGTAAGTCGTTCCTCAGCTGTGGTCTTCTGTGACAAGAGTTGGAACTTTGGACCTTGGACTTTGTTAGTCTTGTTTGGAAAGAAAGAGGATGTTGAGAGTACAACAGAGAGACTGGTCTGTTCCCTGAAGACAGGTTACTCCAAGGCTGAACCAGGCTGCCAAGACATCCCTGCTCACCTCCTCAGGAGTAGCAAACCACTCACCCTTCTCACAATTCTCTCCTCACTCACTGCTTTCCTTCTTCCCTATTCTCCTCTTCCCCCTCTGAGCCTCCCCTCCTTACCCCCATCCTCTGTTGAAAGAAAAGAATAGCTCCAGGTGCCACGATATCTCACCCGACATCCTGCCCTCTCCTGGCTCCTGGCAATTTCAGCCTGAAGAATTCAGCAAAGAGGTAAAGTCCTGAGTCCTAACCCTATGTCCGTCTTGGCCCATTCCTCAAACTCATTTCTCGGTATGATATTATGAACAAAAAAGGGACCCCAGGGGTAAAGGATGTGCAGTAAGAGGTGATAGTTGTCTAGCTCTGAGCCCTGGTACTACAGCTAACCCAAATGATCCATCATTTCGTATCTTGTTCTGTTTGTAATCCAAATAAATGTCTCACATATATAAACAATACTGTGTCTCAAATTTGTCAGTATAGTTGGATGAGTAAAAGTTAAATGTAGTTAAATTTGCTATTCATTCTATTCCATCTGTGAATAACTTAGTATCTCCAGCAATAGACACTATGAGTACCATAGAAAACTATTAAATATTTTAATGACAAAAAGAGTCACCTCCTTCAGGAAAAGAAGGGGATGACCAGTGTACCTGACATTACTGTGGTCAAGTTGATGTCTCTTTATGGTTCTATCCACGGGGTGGGTGGAAAGGAGTCAACACAAGTTGAATTCAGGTAGGAATTCTTCCTTTGTGGATCTTGACAGAGATTTAATCTTGGATTGACCCCCAGCCCTTAGTTGTTCCTAAAGCAGGTAATTCCATGGACTCCTTACGTTGCTCAAAGACTGGGAGATAAGATGGGAATTGGAAGGCAGATATTCTCCAAGATGCCCAACTTCCGCTGATATGTTTGGAGTGACCAGTGTATCCAGATACAGAAAAACTGATGCTGCAATGATGTCAACCAAACCCAAGACCAGGACACATAACTAGGTTTGTTCAAGTACATGAACGAACATAGTTAGGAGGATAAAAATCTGGATCATAGCAGATATTTGGTGGTTCTTACCAAAGTCGATCTTTGGCAAATGTGAATAGAAATCTAGCTCTAGGAAACGAAAAATCCACAAGGGTAAGAGAGAGGTACCACATCATGAACATGAGCCAATTCAGGGAACTGTGACTGAAAATCCCTAAGGTAGGTCCCCAGATACTCCCACCTATCTCATGAAATGCCTAAAATCCAGAATTAGAACTATCGACCTTTAAGCAGGTTAGGCAGGACGGGTGGGGCTAAGTAAGGCTAACTGGAGCTGGGACCAGTATTATTCTGAACTGCTGACACTCAGCCACTCCAGTACAGATGAGGGCTCTGAGAATGGAGTATGATGGGTATATAGAGGAGTATACAGAAGTAATGATGAAGAATGGTGAGGAAACAACTTTCTAGTGTTACTTGTGACTGAGTCTATTTACCATCTGGACTTCTGGGTCCCCCTCTAACCCTACTGAACTTATTTGGGTTCAGTTTTAGAAATTAGTGAGCTGCCTTCTTCAAAGTATCCACCACTCTCTAACATCAGAGACCTAGGAGGTAGAGGGCTTTCTGCTTGGGCTTTATACAGACTCAAGGGCTGTTAACAAGTGACCAACTCAAAACCTCCTTCTATGGTTACCTCTGGAGGTAATATCATAGGAGGCCTGAGTGTGTTTTTATGTAATCTATTAGGCCCTTAGAAGTCTTCTTTCCAAAAATATTTTCCCTGCTCTAGATCCACCTGGTACCTAAAATTTTACCATTAGGGTCCTTAAAATTGCTTAAAAAGTCTCTAAAGAAATATAAATATAACTTTTAACTAAGAGTAGGAGTAGGGGATTGGTGCAGAGTTACACAAGAACAAATGAGTGGAACCCCTGAAATTCCTTTATCGGGGGCACAGAGGGCAAAGGAGTGAAGTGTGAGTGGGGAAGTGGAAGAATTAAGGGTGTCTATCTAGAAGCTGTTTTCAGAGAATATATGGTTTGTAATTACACTGCATATTTATTTAGGGTGGCTTTGACTAAGACTGATAGGGATTTGGTATGCCAGACTCTCCCCATAAACCACTCCTTGGCTCCACCACTGCACAAGAAAATAAGCTGACTACAAAGACCTTGGAAATCCAGACACAAAGACCTGGACTTTGAGGAGAGCTGTCAAATTCAACTCCCTCTCCCTGAGCCACTGTGCTTGCCAGAAGCAGGTAAACACAACAGGACTGAGCTAAGGATTATCCACGGGGATCTTGTATCCTCTGAAGGAACTGCTGGCAGCACTCCCACCCATGGAGAGGCCAAAGAAAGAAGTGCAGGACTTTAGGTCAAAAATGGCAGGGAAAAGGCACATAAATTGTGGCTGTATTATCCAGTCACAAGATGCAATCATACTGCCGCTTGTCACATGTCTTTTCCCCTCCTCCTTTGGTCTTTCCCTCTTCTCCTTTCCTCCCCTCCCTTTGCTCTGTTTTGATTTGGTTAAAATAGATGCAAACCCTGGTCTTTTCTATTTTTACTACCCAGCCATTACATAATCCACACCGTAATTGCTGACTTGCAAAACTATTGGCAACAGTAGAAAAACCCTGGAGTTTTAAAAAGGAAAAGGATTATTACAGTACAAAAGCCTTTGGCAGCTTTACTGACTGGTAAAGCATCTGTAATCGTCACTTGCCAGTGGAAGTCACATGGGCCCTGGGAACATCCCCCACACACATACCTCAGGGAAAGTGGGTTAGGGGATGAGAGGCAACCTGGCTAAGAGGAAATGACAGTGGGTGGGGGCCCAGGCTCATATTTGAGAAATGCCCTCACCAAAAAAGTACTCAAGATTGAGTGCCAGATTACCAGGGGTACCTTTTACTGCTTTTGTTTCTTACTAGGGAGTGAAGTCTCCAAAGGCCAGGAGCTTGCCCTCATCAGCTTCCCGGCCTTCCTACAACCTGCAACACATTTCTGCAAAAGTCTGAGGGAGGGAAGACTACCTCAGTTAAATAGGTGCCTGACAGACACAGGAGCAAGGAAGATTTCAAACACAAAGAGCTCCTCTGCAAGGCTTTCCAGATATTAAGCCAGAAACACATTATTCAATGATTTCACAAAATGGTCCAATAAAAATATAAGAACTAGTGGTCTGGTAAAGGGTTTCACAACCAAAAAGAAATATTTCACTGAGCCAAAATTCTCTGTATGTTGAATGTGGGTAATGCAGTAGGTTAAGGAGGGTTAATATCTTCTTTCCCTGATTTTGCCAATGTTGCCACATTCCTGACCTGCCCCCCCCCAGAATCAAAGTGATCAGTCCAATTTGGATAATTGTATGTGATCATTTAAAATATTTGCCAAATATGATATACTAGACTGGGTGCTGAGATGGAACTGTGAACAACCCAGGTCAATCAGGAAGGCAGGTATTAATCAAAATAAGATACAAACATAACAACACAACCATGATGAAAGGTTATGAAGGGAAAGTATAGGGTGCTAAGGGCATTTAGAACAGTATGACCAGATAGGGTCTGAAGGTTCTTAGAATATTATCCTAAGGACTTCAGGGTTCTTTCAATTTGGCACCTTTGTTTCCTTCTGTCCCCTATCCCTCCCTCCTTCCTATATTTACTGGGTTTTTACTACGCCAAAGGTAATACTAAGTTCTTTACATGTGTGGTCTCATTTGATTTTTATAACAAACTCACAATTCAAATTCAGCACTTTAAGATAAAAGGATCTGTTGAAAAAAGCTGAACCTAGCCGGGTGCAGTGGCACACACCTGTAATCCTGGCAGCTTGGGAGGCTGAGACAGGTGGATGGTGAGTTCAAAGCCAGCCTCAGCAACAGAGAGCTGCTAAGCAACTCAGTGAGACCCTGTCTCTAAATAAAACACAAAAAATAGGGTTGGGGATATGACTCAGTGAGTGAATGCCTTAGAGTTCAATCCCTGGTACCCCGCATCCCCCACCAAAAAAAGGTGAACCATACCATACTCTCTGTAAGAGAATGATATACCATTTATGACATGGATTAATTAAGACACTCTGGCAGCAGGTGACGATTCAAATCAAACTTCTATAAGGGGAAAAAAAAGGGAAAGTCTAGGTCCACATAAAATAAGCGCCCAGGATTCCACCAATTTAACACATGGTTACATCCAGGTACTCAAGACACCATCTGGTCTCCAGTTTTTGCCATCTCACAGCTCAGCTGTCATCTGTGTTGCCTTCATTCTTGGGCAGTATTCTCCTTAGGGTGACAAGATGGTCTCCAGCAGCATGGGACTTACATTCTGTAGGGTCAGGGCAATCAAGCTGGAAAGGAAAATAAGAGTGCACTTCTTAATAGTTCTAACAAAAACCCTGAGAGACCTGATTGGCCTGGATGTGGGTCTATGCCCCTGCCTGCCAAGTACTGTTCTCTGACTGGCATATGACTATATGTCCTCCAAGAGATGAACTTACTCCACTGGAACCAAAAACTTCTGAAAATAGGAAAGGAAGTGGTTCCCCAAAGAAAATAAAAATGCTCTTATTTAAGAAAGGAGAATGGCGAATAGTCAAAGCTCACTGACCTCTATTGTTCTCAAAGTGGGTGTTGAGACTATACAGTAGGTTCTTCCATTTAAGTTCAGTGTGGCACTGACTAGATTCACACTGCTCAGAGACCATGACTTCTTACTTTAAGATACTCTGAAGGGCTGGGGAGGTGGCTCAAGCAGTAACGCGCTCGCCTGGCATGTGCAGGGCGTTGGGTTCGATCCTCAGCACCATATAAAAATAAAATAAAGATGTTGTGTCCACCAAGAACTAAAAAATAAATATTAAAAAATTCTCTCTTTCTCTCCCTTTAAAAAAAAAAAAAAAGATACTAACCGAAGTCTTACTATTTATTTAGGTCCTTGCTCAGAACAGTTTTCAAGTTCCAAGATTTTACAGAAGATTTTTCCCAATTTTTCTTTACCCCTAAATGATAGACCCTACTCGGCAATAGCATGGCTGGGAAGGGTATAGCTCATTGGCTCTTTAACCAGCATCCTCAGGTTCTGCATAACTCACAGGGAAGGAGAAATGTGACAAAGTCCTCCATGGTGGACTTTTTTTTTTTTTTTTTGCTTCCCTTTTGAAGTCTGAACAGAAAACAGTTTTCACTGGGCAGAAAGAGGAATATAATATGATAGCTCCTGGAGCATTCAGAGAGCAAGATTTTGGAGAACCACTGTTAAACATTCTGAATTACCAGCAGTTAATACTCTTAGTAGTCTCTTTGGCTCTGCTCCAACTCTTGCTAGAGCTTTGATCTTTTTCACATCTCACCTCCTGAGGCTGGTCTCTTCTCTCTGCTCTAAGCAGTCCCAGATGTGGGACTCAGCTCTTTTTCCATGCTTTACTCCAAAGAAAAAATATGTACACACAAACTCACTCAAAGCATCATGTGTCTGTCAGATTTCCCTGAGAGTATAAAGAGACAGGGATTTTATATTACCCTGCTGCTTGGTCCTTTTATCCATTCCACATGCTCCTCACATTTTGTTGGTGGTAGGGACTAAATTCCCCTTATATTCAGAGTACCTTAGCTCTCATCCCCCTTCCAGAGTTGGGAACCCACTAAGAATCATTCACTCCAGGTTTCTCCCTGATCAGCACCAAGGAACAGTTAAGAACTTTTACTCTCTTGTTGCTACCACCATTCTGTAGTGGTCAAAGGAATGGAATGATTTTTTTCCCAGTAGGAATACAAATTATATCACCCCTCTTTACAAGAAGAACTAGTCACAAAGTTTTTGTTTTAAATAAATTTATATTACACTACCCTAAATTCTCCACCTCAGAGAATAGCTTATGTAACAAGTCTGAAACAATCCCCATATGTCCACTGACACTGAAATGTGAGTAAGCAAAGCAACACTTCTGTCCCAGAGACACTGCCAATCTTTGAAAGACAAGGGAGTATATATCCTTGCCACCTTATGATGGAATTCCTGCTGTTTCCAGGTTGGAGTTTTGGAGTTTTAAACTTCAGCAAAATAGGTAAAACTAGAGTAAGTTTCAAAGACTCCTTTCACCTAGGTTGGTGAGCCTGGAACCAAGGTTAAAACCAGTGAGAAAGTCTCTCCAAAAGAGAGACAAGGACAGATACAAAGTGCAGGTTTTCTCCCATGGGCTAGGCCAGCTTTAAGCCTTGCTTTCCTGAGCCACTCATGTTTCCCATCCTTTTCTAAGAGCATGGGACAAGCAAGGCTTCCCACGCAGAGGCCCCTGCATCAGAGTCAGAGGCAGGGAGGCTCTGCAAGGCTGTGAACACCAAAAACAAGTAAATCCTAGCAAAGAAGAATCCTGAGCTTTGAATTCCTTTATTCATCACTCCAAAACATGCAACTGCAGACAACATAGTAGCATTCCTTAAGGATCCTTTTAGTTCCTGGGAAGATAGGTGAGAAGTCTCTAAATTCTTCCCAGAAGCTAAAATTTATAATACCGAAGTACATTAACAAAGAAAGGATAAAGGTAATGATGTAGAATATACATTTTCTATCTTATATAAGAAAGTGGCAAAAGTTAACATTTCATTCTTTAATGCCATCATTAGAAAAATACAGCCTTAAATAAAGGAAACTTAAAGAAACTCATCAATAAAAATGTATACATTCTAAGTCAAACAGGAATGATATTCAAAATAAATGGGAATCTCCTATTCATACTGTTCCATGCTTTCTATTTTTACGGACACAAAAACCTACTTCAATGTTTAACAGCCACACAGAATTTCACAGTACCCCTACTCATGGATATTCACCACTACAATGAACATCCTTCTCTAGAAGACTCTGGGCATAGGGGTGAGTGATTCCTTAGATGAAATCTGTTTGCTTTGCTGTAACTTGCCTATTTGTATTCTATGCCATTTTATATTGGGTTTATAGTATTTTTCTTATTGATTTGTAGGATCTCTCTAAAGATTGTAGATATTAATCTATCATCTATTACATATAGTGCAAAAATAATCTCCTAGCCTGTTGGCTCTCTTCTAACTTTGTTTATAGTAACTTGTGCCAGAAACAAGTTTCTCTCCTCTCTCTCTTTTTTTTGGACCCAGGGCCTTGCATATGCTAGGCAAAACGTTCTACCATCAAGCCACATCCCCAAGCCAAGTTTCTCACTTTTATATAGCAAAACCAATTACAAATTACTTAGAAAAAAGTGAAATGGGAGCAATGCACCTCAAGCTCTGAGCCACTATGGTCTCTTCCACTTAGGTCCCTTGATAAAGTGGCTGGTTAGACAGTTATTTTCTGAGTTCTGGTTTTATAGCCAGGGTGACAGTGAAAATTGATCAAGAAAGGGCAAAAAGAACTATGAGGATTTTTGTTTGTTTCCAGTAATTTGGGGTTGCTTTTTTAAATGTTTGTAGTCATAGTACTAACAATGTTGAAGGAATCCTGAATCACTGAAAATCCTTAAAACAGCTTTATGAACAATGAACTGAGAATTTCCAGACTCTTTCAAACTATGTAAGCTTTAGGGCATTACTTGCTGTCACCATGAAGGGAATGACTGAACACAGCCCAGGAAAAATAAACGTCAGACCCCAAAGGAATACAAAGGCTCAAGAGTCCACTGATTCCTACTAGAGTTTTACGCAAGAAACTTTTAAAAAGTTTCCATTCAGCCTCTCACAGATGATTAGTACAGCTTACTCTGAACTAGAGCAGTTTAACAAAAAAAAAAAAAAAAAAAAAAAAAAAAAAAAAAACCCTAGTGGCCAAATAGGATTTGCCTACAAGAGGGCCAATAGCTTTTCCCTAAAAGTACTTGGCCTCTGTATCTGTAAACAAAGGCCCAGGATCTTGCTGCTGTTGTCCTAGTTGGCCATCACTCACCCCAGCAACCCCATTAAACCCCCACACTATTTAAGCAGGCAGTGTAGAAAGCATACCTGAAAAACTGTCCTGGCCACCTTCCCTCCAGCTGAAACTTGACACTCCTTTATGAACTTGCATTCTGGGCAATGAAAGTTCTAACATAAAAACAATCTTCTGGGCTGGGGATGTGGCTCAAGTGGTAGCGCGCTCACCTGGCATGCATGTGGCCCGGGTTTGATCCTCAGCACCACATACCAACAAAGATGTTGTGTCCGCCGAAAAAAGACTGAAAAATAAATATTTAAAATTCTCTCTCTCTCTCTCCCTCCCTTTCTCTTTAAAAAAAAAAAAAAAAAATCTTCAGTGTCCAGCAGGAGGAGGAGGAAAAAGAGACTTCTTTGCTTGATATCTTGTTGCCCTGATGTTGCTTCAAAACCATTATTGTTATAATATTACCAAAAAGCATCTTTTTTTTTTTTTTTTTTTTTTTGCTAAGTCTTGTGCTGAACGACTATACTCCTACTCATTGCTGTCATCTGCTGACCTCCTGGTCATCAAGGACTTGGTCACAGTCTGCCTTTCCATCTCAAGTCAAACCTTTGTCTGGTCATGACCTCCTCTATTTCTACTTCTCATCATTGCGTCTATAACTTCTGTTCTTTAACTACACTGTGATTTCCAGGCCCTTCCCCACCACTGTGCCACCATCAGAACTCTCTTGGATTCACTTCTTTCTCTAGTCAGCTAAAGGACAACCACTCTCCCACCAATACTCTAGGCCACATCTATTTCTCCTCTTCTATTTGTTGTACAACACAGTTTCTATCTGAATGCAGATGTTCTCAGCTTTAATCCTCCACTTGTTTCATACTGCTAAAATAATCATTAGTAATGAGGGCTGCTTCCTCTATAAATTAATTATCTCCAACATTGGGTGAGTCTTCAGCACTGCTCAGCTATCCTCTTACATGTCTCTCAAGGTCATAGCCAAAGGCATAAGAGTTTTTTTTTGAAACCATACCACTCTCCCCACTATCTCACTTGCTCCTAACAGATGATTTCAACTTCTGCTCAGAAAAAAACAAAGCTCAAAGAAAGCCCAACTGTCTCCCAAAATCTCATCAAATCACTCTAACCCATTATATCCCCATTATATCCCTTGAAATAAGACTTAAAAGTACTCAGCAGAACTCAGTAGTACACATCTGTAGTCCCAGCTACTTGAGAGACTAAGGCAAAGAATCACTTGAACCCAGAGATCAAGACCAGTCTGGGCAACACAGTGAAACTACATCTTAGGAGGGGAAGAAAAAAAAAAAAGTGTTCAGAAGAATCTTGGCAAAATGTAAGAAAGTAACAAATGGTGGTACTGGTGGTGATGTTAATCTCAGTGCAGCCTTGACCTTTGTTCAGTTCAAGTTTAAACTTGTCCACCAATACTCAGGATACAGT